TCACCTGGAGATTGGACACATTTTACCTCACAACAGCAAAACTGTTTAGAATGTTAGAGGCAAAAGCCAATCAAGTTGCATATGCAAACGACCTCTGTGTTCCGAGGCAAAGGCCAATGAGGCTGCATATGCAAATAACCTCTGTTCTGACTGGCTATGGAGGGGAGAAGAACAGCAAACTGTTTAGAATGTTGGAGGCGAGACTCAAGCAATGCAGCCAGTGGATAGGGACGGATTCTGAGTGACACACCAGGGCGCCAACCAATTCCGGAGCATGTGGAATGTTCTAGAGAAGTGCCACCACCATTCGGCTTTTATTTATAAGGGAGATACCTGACATAATGCACTGTATAGAATTTAAAGAAGAATATATTACTGTCTGCCAGCCAAACTCATACCAAAATCCTGAAAGTCTTTGACGGACAGTCCAGAGTAAAACAAAAGCAAGGTTTATATACCTTGTGCAATCTATAGAATCCAATGCAGATGTCAATCAGGACTGTGAGAGCAGCAGACCATGCCCCTTGATAGCTAACTGAACTCTGCTCCGAGTCAGCTCATAACCTGTGAGGTCAAAAAACTCAGGACACTGTCCTGTGTCAAGAAGAAGATTTGGATTTATACTCCGCCCTTCACTCAGAGTCTCAGAGCGGTTTACAATCTCCTTCCCTTCCTCTCCTTCCAACAGATACCCTGTGAGGTAGGTGGGGCTGAAAGAGCTCTGAGAGACCTGCTCTTGAGAGAACAGCTCTGAGAGAACTATGACTGACTGAAGGTCACCCAGCTGGCTGCACATGGTGGAATGGGGAATCAAACCCAGTTCTCCAGATTAGAGTCCACTGCTCTTAACCACTACACCAAACTACACCAAGGGGGAGCCACATACTCAGATATCCAGCTGTGTAGATGTCAAGGCTGGTACCAGAAACTCGAGGAATGTAAACTATTCTTTAGGGCAGAGAGCATTAGCAGGTCAGCACTTGCTTGAGAGTGGCTGTACTGCAAAGCTTTATGGGAGAGTGAACCAGACAATAGAGACTTAAGCCAGTTTAAACTGAAACACAAAAATGGCCTAGTCTCCCCTTAAATTCTTCTACAGTAGCATTCCATCACGATGAAGCATAAAATATCTAAGCATACTAGCATGGTGATAGCATAACTCTTTGGCCTATATCCTTATTATAGCTTTCTGCCCTGTGACATCAGGTAGTCTCTCTAGTCCAATCAAGGATCTTCTCAGGAACTGTCCAGAGGCTGTTGGCAACTTCTCCTAATTCCCCCCTCCCATTTGGTTACAGAATTGAGCACAGGATCTCCTGATTTGCCCAATTATTACATTCTTGCTTCTGGCCTTGAAAGAGATAAGGATAGTGGTTGCTGGAACTCTGAAATCACCAACACCTGCAAGCAGAACTAGGCCTTCTAATATTCATGTTAACCCCTGAGGGCAGATTAGAGGCCTTAACCTCACAATGGTAATTCAGATTTGGGCCTCCCAAATTCTGGTCTGAAACACTTACTACTACATCACACTGGCTGTCATGGGGTAGCTACTGTTGAACAGTAGCAAGCAGCAAGGCCTAGATTAGTCATGCAAGTCGTATGGTAGGAAGTCACCTGGTGGTTGCTGGCGAGCCTGGCCCTGATGAGTCCATCCTCAAAGGTCAAAACAGCCCTGGAAAGAAGCCCTGCTCCCTCCCCTGCCTTTAATTGACAGAAGCCAAGGCTTGAAGGCTGACAATACTTTTTGATTTCCTAGCTACAGCCACTGAGGGTATCCAGCTGGTCAAGGTTCTTAAATTGCTAATTTTGTCAGGATACCCGCTAAATAGTAGGCAAAACAGCCCCAAACTTAATGATCCTTGAGAATAACAATATCTTTACTGAGTGAAGGATCTAATAGGTGTGCAAAGTAAGGCATAAATAGATCTGTTGTTTTGCAGTGGAAATCGTAGCACTTATGCATAGGTAATTTTTTTTCCATGAACATACACACACTGATAAGCAACAAATGTGTGAGCCCATTTTCTCAGGACTAGTCTTTGGGAATAATGTGGACATAGTAACACTGGGGAACAAAACTTGTATATTTTGCTAAGAATGTAAAATAAAACCACAGTTCTCCTTGGTATGTATATTAAAACCAAATTCTCCTTGATAAGTAATATTTATAAAAAGTAATAACAAGGAATATTTTTGAAGATACTCCATGGAAGCTGAGATAAACAGTCCATGCTGTGGGCTTTTGAAAATATTCTAAGTCTTGAGACATATGTCCCTGTGTGCCAGCCATGGTCCTCAGGTTGCCCCCTACTGGCTATTGCCCCCCCTAAGGTGGCCTTCCTGGCATTGACCACAGCTTGTACTTTTCCTGTCTTACCTCCCACCCTATGGAAAAGGATCCTCAAAGAGCTGCCATTTCTAGAAGTGTTAGGAGGAACATCAAGGCCATTTTACTTGTTAGGGCTTTTAATGGGTGTAGGTTGCAGGCATATTTTTAAAGGGTGAAATTAGTTATTTGGGCTTTAATTGTATTTCAAGTTTCAAGTTAGCCTTTATTGGCATAAAATAACAGTACAAGTAATTGTATTTTATTTGTTTTGAATTTGGGATTGTAAACCAGCTTGAGCCATGGGGATATTCGTTGTTGTTCAGTTGCACAGTCAAGTCCGACTCTTCGCGACCCCATGGACCACATCACACCAGGCACTCCTGTCTTCCGTTGTGCTCCGGAGTTTGCTTAATTTCATGTTCATTGTATCGATAACACTGTCTAACCATCTCATCCTTTGCCGTCCCTTTCTTCTTTGACCTTCAGTCGCAGCATCAGGGTCTTCTCCAGTGAGTGCTCCCTTCTTATTTGGTGGCCAAAGTATTTGAGCTTCAGCTTCAGTATCTGGCCTTCCAGGGAACAGTCAGGGTTGATTTCTCTTAGGACTGGCTGATTTGATCTCCTTACAGTCCAAGGGACTCTCAGGAGTCTTCTCCAGCACCATATGCCATGGGGATAAGTGGTGTATAAATATTTAAATAATTGACTGACTGAATATCTGAAAATGTGTTCCATCCATGAATATTTAGGACATAATCTGGGAGATTAGAAATGCATATGACCATTATTGTTACAGTCCTAGTGGAATCTGGATTTTATACCAATGATGATGTTGGCATTTTTTCCTCATAAAAATAGACTTGCTGGATCCTTTCCAAAACTGTCCATCTCTGTAAGAATTACTGAAACTATAAATTTGATGTTCATGAAGATCTTTGTAAAAGCACTAATAAATACTATGATTGTTTATTTATTCACAAATCTTAATTTTTTGAGATTATACCGAGGACAATGAAATTGCACAGTCCAACACTGATCAGTGGCCTGATGTTGAAATCATCAGTAAAACTGCTTTTGATCTCAGCATACATGATCCAAAGTATGTCTTCATGAGCCCTGTATATACGGAGCAATTGCAAAGAATAAAGCAAGGTAAGTGAAAACTGATTTTATTACTGCTGCTTTGAAATAATTAGCAGAATGTCACATCTGTTAGCTTTCCTTATTTATCTTTGCCTATAGAGCCAAACAAAGAAACCAAAACTGATGACTCCAGAAAACGGAATACTGTATCTATGATGTTGACTAAATATGCAGCTTATAATACATTTCATCACTGTGAACAATGCCATCAGTACATGGATATAAATCCTTCAGTCCAGGTACATCCTTCAAAAACATTAATTACAATTTCCAAAGGTTTTGTTTAGGGCATTTTTTTCATTTCAAGAGTTCAACCCATTTTATAGTCATTCTTTTTCTTCTGTAAACCTCAGGATATGATGTTCTGCGACAGAGGCTAGGGATCAGGGACCCCTGCCTGAACTATCTCCATGATTTCACCAGAGTGCAGCTCCAGTAATTCTTTGGAGAAGGAATGGTTATTTAACTAGCTTAGAGTTTATAACATTCATTTGTCTTCAAAGAACAACGGGTATACTTCATCATGCTCTGGTGTTCATAAAATTCAGAACCTTTGCAGATATATTATTCTGTTCATATGTATTAATTTGCAAGGATCCTACTGAGGGCCAAACTACACAAGAGAGCAAAAAACTGATAACATTCCAGACATATAATTTAGCTACAAAATGCAGTCATGGCTTACTTAAGCCCCAATAGAGGAAGAACAGAAGCACAATACTCAGTCCGGTCTTTTTTTCCTATTGGAGCTTAAAGCCGTATTGGGGGGGGGGGGGGGGGGTGGCTGAAGAAGCAGTACAGGGGAGAAGAGTTAACTACTACTTCCCCAACACTGTGGCCCCAGTCTACTTTACTCTGTCCCATGGCTGCTTTTCTCAGCTAAATAATATGTTAGGGAATCCAATCATGGATCCCCAGTGACATACATAGCTGGGCCTTCAGAAGCATTCCCTACATTTTGGCTTGGGAATTTTCTGTATTACCAGATTATTTTTTCCCAATCCGTAGAGCTTGGCCTTCTGAAAAGGGCTATTAGCATATCAAATATGTGGTTATGACTGCTATATTCCTAGCAATGTAAAGAGCATACCCCTTCTTATAAACTGTGGGCCTGGTGTAAGAAGACGGAAAAATGAATTAATGGCACTAAAGAGCTTTCGAAGAACAAATATATGGAAACTGGAACAATTTAGGTATGGCTCGAAACGGCTGATTACTCTTTGTAATAGTTAATCCAGAGGTGTTGCATGCTGACACGTTCAGCATCACAACCCAAGATATGACTCCTCAGTGGGTTACAGTTTCTTTCTCTTCCTTGCGTACAGATGTCTGACTCCACGCTACATGCATTTACGTTCTCGTCCTCAATGTTAGGAGAAGAGATTCAGCTTCATTTTATAATCCCTAAGTCCAAAGAGAGCTATTTTGTCTTCAGCAAGCAGGGCAAGCACCTGGAAAGCATGCGTCTTCCTCTTGTATCTGATAAGGTAGGTTAAATCTGTTCAGCCTGCATAAAACAGATCCTGGCTGCTTCCACACCTGGATGGTTTTCCGTGGTAGTCTGGTTGCTGATGCAATTCTTTGTGAAATCACCCCTGAAGTGGAGATTCCTTTTAATTAAAGGGTTGATTTTTTAAAACAGCATTTTAATGTGGAAAGTGTTTGTTAAAGCTGTCTGAGGTTTGTTTTTATTATCTATGTTTTTATGCTGGGCTGGTCCTTTTAAAATTCTGGATTTTAATCAATATCTTCTAATGTTTTGTTTTTATTATTTTTATTTTGTAAGCCTCCCTAGACAGGTTCCTGGAGGTGGCATAAAAATGTTCTAAATATATAAATGAGACAGCGAGAGTAGTCCAGTTACAAATCATTTTTAGCAGTGGTTTCCCTTTCACACCTGATATGCACTGAAGCTCCCGCCCCTACGTGCACCCACACACCATGTTATCATATGACCCTTAGGATTTTCTGCCCACCCTATTTTATTTTATTTTTAATTTTGAGGAGCGTGAATAGCACACTGATGCATAGAAGTAGCATGATACATTTAAAAATAAAACTCCACGTATTTGCAGACACCTCCAGCTATTCCCTCCCTAAAAGGCAGGCTGAGCCTTGGGTGATTCTCTACTGCTTTTAAAAAGCAAATATGAGTAACTCTGGATAGAAATAATGCAATATCTTTATCAACCTTAAAAAACTCTCATATTTGCAGAGCCTCCCATCTGTGTAAAAGACAGGTGATTCTATTCTGTTAAACTAATTGTTGCCAGGCACTGGTCCCTTGCAGTTATCAACAAATGAAGATTAACTGACAAGAACTTCACCTAAATTCTGCAGTTGAGCTGTATTCCCTCTCAGACATAAGAAACATTAAAAAAAATACCAATTAGACAGCTGAAATATGGGACATCCTTGGTGTGGAACCAGACACTGTTGTACAATCTTTAATAATATCAGGACGATAATAAATGTGCTAGAATACTATGAAGAACACTCAAATAAATCGATGGCGTTGATATTCCTCGACGCAGAAAAAGCATTTGATAATGTAAGCTGGCAATTTATGATTTATAAATTAGAAGCATGGAACTGTGGGTCAAATTTTTTAAAGACGATAAAAGCTATCTATAAAACACAAACTGCTAAAATCCAAATTAATGGAGACATGACAGAAGACATCAATGTACAAAAAGGAACTAGACAGGGCTGTCCGCTATCACAGCTTTTATTTATATTTACGTTAGAAACGCTGATTGAACAAATTAGAGAAGATAATTTAATTAAAGGACTGAAAATCAACAAAGATGAATTTAAAGTACAAGGCTTTGCAGACAACCTAGTATTTATATTGGAAAACCCACTAACATCTCTAAAGCATCTAATAGAAACAATACAAGGATATGGTCATTTTTTAGCAGGAATGAAGATAAACTTTAAAAAATCAAATATAATAACGAAAAACATGATAGAAAAACAAAGAAAACAAATCATAGATCTTTCAAGAATGGAGTTGGCAAAAAAAGTTAAATACTTAGGGATAACGATATCAAATAGGAACATCACACTGATGGAAGATAATTACAACAAATTTTTAGTAGAAATAAAAAAAGATCTACAAAGATGGAAAATTTAAAATGTTCATTTATGGGGAAAATAGCAATAATAAAAATGAATGTGTTGCCAAGGATTTTGTTCTTGGCACAAAATCTACCAATATTAAGAAAAAACACTTATTTACAAGAACTGGAAAGAATCTGTAGCAAATTTATATGGGACAGTAAAAAAAGCAAGAATTAATCGAAAAGTTATGCAGGATAAAAAGGAAAGTGGGGGCTTTGGTCTCCCCAGTTGGGAAATGTATTACAAAGCAGCTGCGTTGATATGGATAAGGGAATGGATACTCCTGGAAAACTCTAGACTATTGAATTTAGAAGGATTTAACCTAATGATGGGGTGGCACAAATATGTGTGGTATGATGAAGAGAAAACGAGAAAAACTTTTGATACACACACATTAAGAAGATCGCTAATGAAAATATGGAAAGAAATCAGAAAAAATTTGTATACTAAAATACCAAAATGGGTGGCCCCCATAGAGGCTAACACAAAACAAACTCTGATAGACAAATATAAGAAAATAACATATAATGATTTGTTAAATAAGGATAATAAACTAAAATCCGATAAAGAATTAGAAAAACAAAATATAAAACTTACATGGTGGGATACTTTACAATTAACGTCAAGATTTAATAGGGATAAAAAATAGGATTTTATGATAATAACAATGAATTAGACAAGATTTGGCTCTCCTCAACTGATAAGTTAATACAAAAACTATACAACTCCTTGTTAGCTGATTACTTAATAGACAAGACCGTAAAAGGAGCAATGATATAATGGATGAGGGATTTGGGGCATCTCATAGAAATAGAACAATGGTCTAAAATATGGAATACAGTAAAATGATGAGAGCAATTCCATATAAAGAAAATATTTTGAAGATGTTCCATAGGTGGTACTGGACACCAGATAAGATATCAAAGTGTTATGGAAAGGCTAACAAGAATTGTTGGAAATGTAAGAACAATGTCGGCACCTTTATACATGTATGGTGGAAATGTGGGAAAATACAAACCTACTGGTCTAAGATATACAAAATATTAAAAGAGATTACAGGACTGGATATACCGTTCTCACCCGAGATAGCTCTATTGAATATGCTCCCAAATTATTATAGTAGTGAGAATAAATATTTAATAAGCTACACTTTTACTGCGGCAAGAATCTTACTAGCAAAATACTGGAAAGGAGAAAAAATTCACCCTAAGGAAGAACTGTTAGACAAAATGTTGACATTAGCTGAGATGGACAGATTAAATGTACTTTTGCAAGGAAAGGAATATGACATATTTGAAAAAAGATGGAAGAAGTTTTATGTCTGGTTAGAGAAGACAAAAAAATGTCTCGCAATGATAAATGTATTGCACTCGATATGTTGATATGTGTGATATAAATAATAAATAAACTTTTTTAAAATGTGCCAGCGAAGTTATGCAGGGCAAACTCTATGGTTAACTCTATGTTTGGGGCAAACTCTATGGTTAAAATTGGGCTCAAACCATAGAGTTATGCCCAAAAAGCAGAATGTCACCACGTGACTTGCCAACGACTTCCATTGGGGATGTTACCTCATTATGTCAGTGTTTGGGGGTGGGGTTCTCCCCAGTGACCAGCTGGCCGGCGGTGGGCAAAAGCTGTGAAAATTGGGGGATCCCCTGCCCCGACTGGGGGTCTGGGAACCCTATTATATGTTTACTTTGAGGAGGGGTGCTAAGATAATTAACACCTGTAATGAGTAAGAAATTCCAAATCTTCTTTTATGGAGTGGGGTAGTAATGTGAAGCCTATTAACAAATTCCAATTCAGCAGTTTCTTTCTAGAGTCACCCTTTGTTACTCAGCTGAAAGTCAACAGTTCTTCAACACAAGAACATCAAAGTGTGGCTGTACCATCAGGTAGCACACCTCTTGTATGGAGGTGCTTTGTCCACACATATGCAAACAACACACCTGTGTTTTGGGAAGGGGGTTTCAACCACTGCCCCTTCTTTAAGTTAAGTTTCAGTATTTTTCTGAAAGCTGGATTTGTAGAACCATTTCTCCCCTTTGAACATGGCTCCATTTACTAAATCGGGTGTGTGTGTGCCAAATTGGGTATATTGATTCTTTTGCATGGGAGCTGTCCTGTTTGTTCTGTAGAGAGAGCAGAATGGCAGAGTGTTTACGCATGACAGCATATATCATATTGCTATCAGCACTGCCTTTTACAGTCATGGTTCTGTTTGATTTCCATGAGAGAGAAAAATTAAAATGCTGCGATTTGGCAACACAACTGAAGTGAGAACCCCAGGGTATGGGAAGAATAGAAAACTTTACCCAATGTCAGTTGCCTTCCTGATAGCAGTCATATATTTTTCCTATGAAAGTCAGTTGGAGCCATTGATTTTTATGGGAAAGAGAGGCAAATGAAAAGACGTGGAATAGGAAAATAGGGCACTGCCTCCCCTTGGCAGGATACTTGTTTTACTGGTGTATATGTGTCCCTTCAGGAGAGATGGATGTATACCATGACTATCCAAGACAGTAATCTTTTTTTTGTCCTTCCAATAGAATGTGAATGCAGTGAAAAGTCCTATTTTCACTCCTTCAAGTGGACGCCATGAACATGGCCTCTTGAATCTGTACCATGCTATGGAAGGTGTGAACCACCTCCATCTCCTAGTGGTGAAGGAATATGAAATGCCACTGTACCGCAAGTATTGGCCCAATCACATCATGCTGGTTTTGCCAGGCATATTCAACAATGCTGGAGTTGGTAAGTGAGGCAAAATGAGAGGCCAGAATGCAGGCTTTTCTCTTGTTTTTAGGGGAGAGGAAAGAGAGTGAGACGTTCAGACAAATTGGTCAGGATCTCTCTACATTTTTTATCCTGCCATTTCTTCAAGGCACTCAGGGAGGTTTACATGGTTCTCTGCCCCCTTCCATTTTATCCGCACTCCATCTCTGTGAATTAGGTTAGGCTAAGACAGACTTGAGGGAGCAAGACGAAGTGGGTCTACTCAGAAGAAAGTCATGTATATGGGACATCTTACATTTTCATACAAGTTACAGTTATGTCCAGTTAAAAAAAGGGGGAGGGATGTCTTACCTTCAGGGTTGCCTACCTTTGAGTAAATACTGTACTACTTAATTTACTGTACAGTTTTCCTTGTATCTGCTTTTTGCAGTATGGAGATTAAATGTCCAGTACAGTGTTATTTAAATCTGATGCTTTGTATGTGCTTAATGTGTCCTCATCTGACAGCAAAACAGTTATTACAGTACATTATGAAATAGGGCTCCAAACTTTAATTGGTAGATCAGTCAACTAAAGATTTTGGTGATTAATTGGTGAGCGATTAATTTAATTGCTGCAGCTAAGTGTTAAGGGCATACCTGTTTAAGACAATTTGCTTCTGACCTATTACTTTCAACATGGAATGAAAAAGAAAATGTGTTCCTTCTAACTGTGTGTTGTAGCTTTCCTCAACTTAGAATTTAATAATTTTACACTTCCTTCCATTCTGATAAGGGAACATATCATGAGGTACTGGTAATATG